CTCAATGGGTTATTTAATGCCGACAACATTTTTAGGATAGATTCGTATGAATAGAATATGTATTCTTAGGTTTAGATTGGTTTGGTTTATTTTGTTTTATGGCATATCAACCTCAATGGGTTATTTAATGACGACAAAAATATTTATTGCTGGTAATATTTTGTTTTCTCAAAAATGTGTTTCTGGTAATATATTTCCTTCAAAATTGTATTGCTGGTAATAATTTTTTCAAAAAAGTATTGCTGGTAATAGTTAACCTGTTGCCTATAGCTGGGACCCTAACTGGTGCTACCACCCTGGATCAGGGTGGACCTGGGAAGACCAGCAATTAAGAGGTGGTTCTACGCTCCTCAAAACCTCCTGATCAGAGGCCTTGCTGCAGGACGTAGTTTAACGTCTTATCCAGGACGCGAATGTAGTTTAACGTCTTACCCAGGACGAACATTCTCTGGAATATAAATCTATAGAAAATACTGTGGCCACAAAGTAAATGATCATTTTATATATTGATTATAATATAGAATTGATCCCCCATTGTATATCCATATTTTAATTTACTGTAAGCATGTCTTTTAGGTTTATTTACATTCTCTGGAATATAAATCTATAGAAAATAATGTGGTCACAAAGTAAGGGATCATTTTATATATTGATTATAATATAGAATCGATCCCCCACTTCATATCCATATAAAAATTTCTTGTTTGTTTATCAAATTCTGATTAGGCACGAATCCACTTCTTCTCACCCAGCTATGGGTTAATTAGTAAGACTTGTACGCGTAAATCATTATTATCTCGAAAAAAAATCTTACTCTCAAAAAAACTTTTTTCTGGCTTTAAATAACCTGCAAAGAGTTGATAAGCTGTAGAAAACGGAGCAGTCAATCAATGAAATACTGATTAGCTAGACAGGCATGTCTTTTAGATTTATTTACATTCTATGGAATATAAATCTATAGAAACTACTTTATAAATGTATAGAAAATAATGTGGTCACAAAGTGAGGGATCAGTTTATATATTAATTGTAATATGGAATTGACCACCCACTTTATATCCACATTATAATTGCTTGTTTTTTTAATCAAATTCTGATTAGCCATTTCTCACTATAGTTATGGATTAATTAGGAAGACGTGTATGATTAAATTTTTATTATCCCCCAAAAAAAAAAAAAAAAAAAAAAAAATTCTTACTATCTAAAAGAAATATTCTCTGGCTTTAAATAATCTACCAAGGGTTGATAAGCCGTAGAAAACGAATTAGTCACCTGAAGAAGCCCGGAGCGTATAACGACCGAAATGTTATGGCGACAAAGATGAGGCCGATAGTCCGAACAATGTAAATAGAAAACATCGTTGATTTATTTCAAACGGAATGATCGATAAGGACACGTCTTCATTTAGTATTTAGATTCTATTCATAATCCACTGCCTTAACCGGGTATTGAACTCACACTCTTTGGGTCCTGCCACTGGATGTAGCCAAAGCCTTTATCCACCGTGCCATCTGCCCCTGAGGCAATTTGCGCATGAATTTCTGGGAATTATAAACCTAATGTCTTCAGCAACCAATTTTACCAGTGCTCATATTGCAATTTTTTGCTGTTATCATTGCATGTTTTTACCAGAACTCATATTGCAACTTTGTTGTTATTATCGCTTTTCTCTGGCACTCCTTGTTACTGGTTCCCATATTGTCCGACATTCCAACCACCTGAAGAAGGTCAGAGCGTACAACGGCCGAAACGTTGTAATAAATATGGCGACAAAGATGAGGACAATAGTCCGAATAATGTAAATAATGTATTCACTTATGTTTTATATAATTCATTATTGTACATAATTAGGTTACAATAAAATATCTCTTTTATAAGAATACTACTTTATGAAAATTGAGATGTAGTAGAGTTGGAGCCCTATATCATAGATTTAGGGGGACCCACAAGACCCTTGCACTGACCCACCTCCAAGAAAGAAGAAACACATGACCATGTAAGTAAAATATTTTAAAAATCATATCTTCTGATTTATTGAAAAAATCCCAAACCATAAAAATATATATAAACTCTCCAAATACAGGGTGCAATAGAAATACCTCCCACATAATGGTAAGATGAATAAATCATTGCTACTTATGTCTTAACATTATCTTGGAGGTATATGTGGGAGGTGTTTCTGTTGCACACTGTACAACAAAATAGTACAGTAATCCTTATATACCCTAGGTATATAGATTGGAAGAAAGAAAGAAACGGAAAAATACCAAGACCTTGCCCAAGGTGACTTCAATGATCCTTAGGTTTTTTGCAACATGAGGACTGCAAGCCGGAGATATTTTCTATATCTGGTGAAGCTATATTTCCATAGGAAAACGGTGCCATAGGCTTATAAGCTGCACCCGACGGCGTGTTTGCTGGCCCGGACAGAAACCCGGACAGGACGACTAACTTGTCTTGTCTTCAGGAAGTTGAATGATGAAATGACGGCACTAAGCGGCCCATGTTCATAAATTTATCTCCCAAAGGTAAATTTACCTTTTATATACCAAAGACCCGGATATAAGAGATTTTCTCTGGTCCCAAATTAGAGCCTGTTTATGTATATAAAATAGACCAAACCCGGATATAAGAGAAACCCGGATATAAGAGATTTTCTCTGGTCCCAAATTAGAGCCTGTGTTAATGTATATAAAATAGACCAAACCCGGATATAAGAGAAACCCGGATATAAGAGATTTTCTCTGGTCCCAAATTAGAGCCTGTGTTAATGTAAATAAAATAGACCAAACCCGGATATAAGAGAAACCCGGATATAAGAGAAATTTTCTCTGGTCCCAAATTAGAGCCTGTGTTAATGTATATAAAATTGATCAAACCCGGATATAAGAGAAACCCGGATATAAGAGACTTCTTCTCCGGTCCCGACAACTCTCTTATATCCGGGTTACAATGTACCTACAATGGCGTTTCTCTTTGTATTTACATACATTTTATTCATTTTCAATTTTTCTAGTTCACCTATATTGTATATGATCTATTATTGTTGTGACCAAGCAAATGGTCAAGTACACCAGAAGAGTATTATTACACGACTAGAAAGGGTGTACTGAATGATCAAGCACTCGATCTATTCACTGTTCCCCGGACCTTTTCTCCTACTTATTTTATAGTAGGCGGAAGAGTCTAAAATAGACTTTTTAGAGGGAGAACACCACAACAATTATTGTACATAATTAGGTTACAATAAAATTTGTATTTTATATGAATACAACCTTATGAAAATTGAGATGCAGTAGAGTCTGGCGACCCTATATCATAGACTCGGTTGGGCGTTGTATCATAATTTCTGAGTGGGCACGCAAGACCCTTGCGCCGGTCTTGATAAGCAACTCAAGTTAAAGATAAGATATTCATACAAGCTTTTAAGATTCAAAACTAAAATATTATGATCGCTAAACAAAAGCACCAACCTTTAATAACTTCTGTGGGAGTATCTGGAGTTTAATTTCCGTGTCTGCGATCAACGCTAAAAGCTGTTGTTAAGCGAATATGTCATTACTAAGAAGGAAATAAATGCCAGGTTGTATGACCGATAAATATATAACGTCATTATATGTTTTATAATATAGAACAGATGAAGATTTTAAAATTATCTGGTTCCTTAAGTGGTCTATCGACGATATATTCATTGTCACTAGTCGTCAATAATAATAATAATAAAAAAATGAAGAGTATCTGGGAGCTAGATCTTTTAGTAATCGAATTTGTTTTTGGAGAAATTGATTTTTCAATTGTTGCGGCATCATGGTGGACTTTTATCGTGAATATTCCAGTAATTTGGAACGAGAAAACGTTGTAAAACACTCACCCACGAAGTAATTAACATCGCAGACATGTTGAAAATTGGGACGCGGATCAATAGCTGAAATCAATAATTGTGAATTGTAGAAATATTTGCTACTGACTGAAACAGTAAAAAGGTTTAACACACGGATTTAGTTTGTTTATTCTATTTGTATACCAATTAAAATCGAGATATTAATCAATTATACGGTTCGAGTCTGAGACGAAAGACAGACGAAGATTTAATCATTTGGAAATCTTGAAAAATGAAAAGAATTTTTCATATTTGTCTGAATTTCTGAAATGATGAGTTATCATCATTTATACTATTTCTATTCGGTCTATTGTCCTCGTCATTATTGTTGCTATCACAACGTTTCGGCCGTTGTGTCCTCCGGCCTTCCTCAAGTGTATATCGATCAGGGTAACCTACAGGCAATTAGATGTAAGCCCTTTATTTAATCTATGGGGCTAGACTATTCCATTGCTCATGTCAAGAGATATTGTTTAGTTATTTTATTTAGTATGGTCAGTTATTGCTCGACCGGTTCGACTGACTGCAAGTAAACACTGTCTGACCAAGTGGTTTTGAGTTCAATCTCTTATACTACGCTCGTTAATCGGAGGAGCAAAAATTTGTGTTGGTAAATCAGAATTATAATGTTCTTTTAGGACGTGGGGATCAGTTCCTCGACTTTCTGTCCCTAGTAGCCATAAATAATAAATGATTTCCCTCAGACTTTTTGCAGGTTAAGATGATATATTTTTGATGGTGGTGAGATAAAAAAAGTATTTTTATACAATTCTTCTTCATTCAAGAGAGAATTTAAATAAAATAAACAAAAATTATAATGGATTTGATTCAGTTCTATATTACAATCAAAATATAAACTGATCCTTTTTTTACTGGTTTATTTTATAAACAGTTATTTAAAGTTAGAAAATAAGTTTAGATTATAGGAATCTTTTTTTGATATAATAATGATTTAGTGATACAAGTTTTACTAATTAACCCATAGCTGGGAGGGGGAGAAGAGGTGGATTCATACATTTCCCAAGGGTATTTGTGCATAAGTGAATATGAGGACGTCAATTGGAATTGGAAACTCGGGTCTCAGATTAACAATTCCCATGTATTATTTATTACACCAGCCGTACAGTATCTCGTGTTCCCGAGCGGTCACCCATCTAGGTACTGACCAGGCTCGACGTTGCTTAACTTCGGTGATCGAACGAAAACCGGTGTTTCAACGTGATTTGGCCGTTAGCATTTTATGCCAAATGCCCATCCAATCACCTGCTATTCCCAAGTAGTCATTCATCTAGGGACTAACCAGGCTCGACGTTGCTTAACTTTGGTGATGGTACTGGAAACGTTGTTTCAACGTGATATGGTCTTAAGCCCCTCCAGGTTTGTCCAACTTTTTTTCCTAAGGGGCAAAATTAGAAATACGTATATCCACAGGGTTACAAAAGTCCTTTATATAAATATGGTTTTGAAAAAATCAAAACATTGTGAACATGATATTCTAATAACCAATATATATATATAATTATCATAGATCCTGTATTATTGACAGTAAAAAAAAAAGAAATTATATATCCACAAAATAAAATAAATTCAATGTGATTTTTTATATTGCTTTCCTCTTGTAATATTGTCAATATCTGCTTTTATGGTACCAGAAAGATAAATAGGAATCGCTCAAGCCCTTCATTTCAGCAATTTTGATGTTTTTCATCCATTGTTCACAGCAGTATGTACTACCCCCACATGAATAACAGTTTTATAGATAAGCTAAATATTTTTTTATTTACCTCTGGCTCTTGCCCCACACACGAGCGGGTGTGAATCGACGAACTCCTTTGCCCCCTTTTAGTGCAACGGGCAAGTGAACCTATAGCACAACCTGAGAATAATTTTCTCTGCATACATTAGTAAAGTAAATAAAAATATACCTAAAGATTTTATGGTGTAGTGGGAAGCATGAAAATAATAAGTGGTCCCGCAGTGAAACCTGTGGACCACGGATTCGATGCCTCTGGTCTTGTGAATGCTAATCTATAAAAATTATACGCAAAAAAAAAAATAGGCAAATGTCTTGCGTTTTTGTTTTTTAGTCATTTAACAGGGCCATAAAAGCACTAAGACACTAATAAAGCGATTAAGAAATAATGGGTTACTGGGTGTTAGAAAATATAAGAAAAAAAATTATGAATTCAGAAAACAGAAAATAATAATTGATATTGCATTTAAAATTTTTGAAGATCAAAGTTGACAGGAAATCAAGAAGCCGGAAGAGAGTTCCACAAGTGAAAATTGACCGGGAATAATAGAAGAGTAATCAGGAAGACAGTAGATAACGATTGACATTGCATTTCAATTTTTGAAGATCAAAGTTGACAGGAAAGCAAGAAGCCGGAAGAGAGTTCCACAAGTGAAAATTGACCGGGAATAATGTAATCAGGAAGACAGTAGATAACGATTGACATTGCATTTCAATTTTTGAAATCAAAGGAACTGGAAAGCAAGAAGCCGGAAGAGAGTTCTAGAAGCGAAAATTGTGAGAACAAGAGTAATCAGGAAACAGTAGATAACGATTGACATTGCATTTCAATTTTGAAGATCAAGATTGACAGGAAAGCAAGAAGCCGGAAGAGAGTTTGAAAGAGTAATCAGGAAGACAGTAGATAAGCATTCAAATTTTGAAGATCAAAGTGAACAGGAAAGCAAGAAGACGGAAGAGAGTTCCAAGTGAAAATTGAATGAGAACAATAGAAAGTAATCAGGAAAATTGACATTGCATTTAAATTTTTTGAAGATCAAAGTTGACAGGAAAGCAAGAAGCCGGAAGAGAGTTCCACAAGTGAAAAATGAGAACAAAGAGTAATCAGGAAGACAGTAGATAACGATTGACATTGCATTTCAATTTCCAAGTGAAAATTTTGAAGATCAAATTTCTTGAGACAGGAAAGCAAGAAGCCGGAAGAGAGTTCCACAAGTGAAAATTGAGTGAGAACAATAGAAGATAATCAAAAGACAGTAGATAACGATTGACATTGCATTTAAATTTTTTAGACAGGAAAGCAAAGAAGCCGGAAAGAGTTCAAAGAACAATAGAAGAGTAATCAGGAAGACAGTAGATAAATTGACATTGCATTTCAATTTTGAAGATCGGAAGAGAGTTTCACAAGTGAAAATTGAGTGAGAACAATAGAAGAGTAATCAGGAAGACAGTAGATAACAATTGACATTGCATTTCAATTTTAAAGATCAAATGAACAGGAAAGCAAGAACCAGAAAAGTTCCACAAGTGAAAAGAGTGGAACAAGAAGAGTAATCAGGAAGACAGTAGATAACAATTGACATTGCATTTCAATTTCTGAAATTAGACAGGAAAGTGAGAAAAATGAGAACAATAGAAGAGTAATCAGGAAGACAGTAGATAACAATTGACATTGCATTCAAATTTTTGAAGATCAAAGTTGACAGGAAAGCAAGAAGCCGGAAGAGAGTTCCAAGTGAAAAAGTGAAAAAATAATCAGTAAGACAGTAGATAACGAACATTAAATTTTTGAAATCAAAGTTGACAGAAACAAGAAGCCGGAAGTTAACAATTGAAAATTGCAATTCAAATAATTTGAAGACAGTAGATAAAATTGACATTGCATTTCAATTTTGAAGATCAAAAGAACAAGAAGCCGGAAGAGAGTTCCACAAGTGAAAATTGAGTGAGAACAATAGAAGAGTAATCAGGAAGACAGTAGATAACAATTGACATTGCATTTAAATTTTTTAAATTTTGACAGGAATCAAAGTAGACAAGGAAAATTGAGCGAGAACAATAGAAGGTAATCAGGAAGACAGTAGATAACGATTGACCATTCAAATTTTTGAAGATCAAAGTAACAGGAAAGGAGCCGGAAACTGAAAATTGAGCGAGAACAATAGAGGTAATCAGGAAGACAGTAGATAATAATTGACATTGCATTTAATTTTTTGAAGATCAAAGTTGACAGAAATCAAGAAGCCAGTTCCAAGTAGTGCGAAAATTTGCTGCATCTAGCCATTCAAGTGTGTAAAATGAGGAGACTTTATCATCAAAACTAATACTGCATTTAATTTCATAAAGTCTAGATACCTTAAAGGAAATTTCATCAGAACACTTAACATAAAAGTATTTATAGAATAGGCCCAGGTAAAGTGACTGAAGCCGGGATGCAAGGTCATGACCAATAACATTGCAGATTCTTCTTTGGATTTTATCAAGAATCTCTAAATATATTGCAGAAGCCCCAGAGCGGATGTGACAGCCATGTTTAGGGCACACATTATAAATTTGTAAGGTAGACATTTTTTCTCACCAGAATCTAACTCAACACAGTGAACCAACTTTCCTAGCTGTAGACTTTGCAATTGATTCAGTAAACCCTTTCCACTTCATATCATTAGAAAAAAAATTAGTCCGAGAAGGCGCAGAGTCAGTCTTCTGGGGGTTAGAATCAGCTATGATGATGGAAGATAAACGGGTTCTCTCAGGTGCTTAAAAAATGGATTTTGGATGTATTAAAATTAACAAGCCTTTCTTTACCTGTCTATAAAACCAGAGATGAGACATTATGATTATTAACATTATTTACATTACTTCGACTCTTATCCTGATCTTCATTGCCATATTCACGACGTTTTGGTCGTTGTATGCACTGGCCTTCAAGCCTACTGAAAACAACCAAACCCTGCCAAAAAAAGTTTTAAATTTTTAAAAATTTCAGACAATTAAAAAACAAAACAAAACATGCAAACATCAATAATGTAAGCAGTTTCAAACTTGACGCTTGTAAATAACAGCTAGATCCAATAACTCTGTAAATAGAATATGTTATTTTACAAAAGTTAGTTGAAAACTGCTTACATTATTGATGTTTGCATGTTTTGTTTTGTTTTTAATTGTCTGAAATTTTAAAAATTTAAAACTTTTTTTGGCAGGGTTTGGTTGATATTATAAACAGGAGCCTGTTTTTAATTCCATTAAAAATTCCATATTTTTTTATTTTGGGAAATGCTGTGGTTTGTGGATGGTCTAGTGCAGGATTGCCTAATCATTTTTTTTTTGTAATGGGCCAAATTAGAAATTTAGATATATTCACTGGACCACAAAAGTTGCTGTGAATATCAAATTTTAATTACAAATATATATAACTAGCAGCATGGCCCGGCGTTGCCCATGCTTGATTCAAAAATCGTACGACACATACAGCAATCGCTATCACTTGACTTAAAATATTTTTGTCCTTCCTTGCCTTTAAAGGAGTGCCCTTTGCCGTGCTGATGTTGCTACATGCCTTACTTCTTGCCTATCTCACGCTGCGAATTTTTTCTAAGCTCTATACTAAACATTAAATCTGTTACGAAAAAAAGAACTAAACAAAATGAACACAAAACGATCAGCTTTAAAAAAAGGACTCGTAACTGGAAAAACCAAATGAAGAAAGAATGTTAACAACAAATACTTTTTCACACCCAACCCAGTTCTGCGGAATCAGAATCAACGTTGAGTTTAAGCAAGCGAATGAGCCAATTGGAGTAAAGTGCCATGCAGATTTAAATTTTTCCCACTTGTGACGAATGCAGCTATCGAGTTTTTTTGCATGCTAATTAACATTCGTGTCAGTCAGCTGTTGGCTCTCACGCTGGCTAATAGAATCTTCCTGCCTATTCGTGGCAGCCAGCTATAGGCTCTTACTCTGGCCCGTAGAAAATGGCCGTGAACTACATGAAAACTGCCGTAGAAGCATAAAAAAACGATTATTTCCACTATCGATGGGAGTTGGGAAATGCAATGTCGGTCTTGGCCTTCCCACTAACTTGGAGCATGTGCATGTAAATTTTGGTGCAAATCCGTCGAAAATTGCAGCCTTGCATTCGTTACACACACACACACACACACACACACACACACACACACACACACACAAACACACAAACAAAAAAAAAAAAAAAATCCCGCCTTTTATAGATATAGGTTACAAAAATAGTGTATTATTGAGAGTAAAAAAAAGAAATTATCCATACAACAAATAACATAAATTCAATGTGATTTTTTGACATTGCTTTCCTTTTATAATATTGTTAATATCTGCTTTTAGTGACTAGACCCAAAAAGTTTTGAGTTCAATATCAGACAGCAGTAGTGAACCAAAACTATTAGACATAGACACTTTTTAATTAAATAATGGAAATTTACATAATTTAATAAAAGTATATA